CCCCAAAACCCCAAAACCCCGAGTAATCTAAGTTTTTAGATTAAAGTAATGCTTATTATAAATAAAAGAAACTTAATTGAAAATGATATATCAAACAAGAATACCTTAAAAAAACATAATGTTGCTGGTCTCAATTTTAACTGTCGCCCAATTTATTTCATTGTCAAATTGCTAACTAAATGAGAGATAATGCCTTAATATTTTGTCAGAGGATGACAAAATCAGATGCATTGAGAGATTAAAAGTTCAAAATCTAAAAATAAATCAAGAATAATAAAGAGATATTATTCAAAATCCTTAAATACTATAATAAACAGATAACCTCAAGCTCTCATCTGATTTCATTCTAAATAAAAATAAGATCCTTTAAGATTTAGAAACAAATTAGATTAACAACAAATAACTTGAGATTTAATAAGAAGAAAGCTCATTTCTTTAAAAACCATTCATTATAATTGAAAAGGATTAAAGTGGTGAATTGGGTATTAAAATAGAATAGAAAAGCTAATACTAATCTGATAATCAAACTATTGAAACCAATCATCAAAATTAAAACCTTTATGTGCGTGATGAAATCCACGACATTCTAGAATACTAAAGAAAAACTCTTGGCATTTCTGAAACATTACCCAAATCAAATTAATAAGAATTAAGACTAAAAACCAGACAACTATTGATGAGTTAAATAGATAAGAAAAGCAAATAAAATAAAAAGGATGATAGATTATTATAAACCTGGGATGTGGCAAGCACTATTGGTTAAAACGATAAGTCAAGGGTTACTAACACCACAACAACAATAACAACTATTGACAATTCAGGAACAGTAATTAGCGACGGTGGATCTTCCAGTAATGGAGGGACTATCACATCTCCCACTACTACTATTCAAACTACTACAACCACAACTACAAAAGCTGCTTAAACAACAACTCAACCTGGCCAAACTACTACTACAACCACAACTAAAGCAGGTGCAACAACTACAACCACCACTACGACAACTACTACTACAACTACGACAATAACAACAACTAAAGCTCCTGCTACTACAACTTAATGGGGAGTTGCAACTACTACCTTGAGTACAACAACAACTACAGCAACAACCACAAAAGCAACTTCAGCTCCAACTGACTCAAGCGGGTAAACGCTAGCTACAACTACCACTGCTGCTACTACTACGACTACCACAACTACAACAAAATCTCCAGTAACCACATAGAACGGCTAAGTAACTACAACTACTACTGTTTCTCCTACTTCATCCCCAACAACAACTTAAAGCGGACAAACTACAACTAAATCTACTGAGACATCAGGTACTTCAAATAATTTAGAGACATTAACAGACAGTGGAAAAACTTCAGACAAATCATCAAGTTCAGATCATTTAATCATAATTTATGCTGTTGTACCGTCTGTGGGTCTTGTACTGATTATTATGATTGTGGCTCTTTTATGTTTGCAAAGAAGAAAAGCATATAAAACCTTGATGATGAGACAGCATGAGCAATTTAACTCAACTGCTAGAGGCATTTACGATAGTGAACGGGGACATGAAGATGGGAGTCTTAACCATCAGTAGAATATGAACAGATAAAACTACTCTTAAGCGACGTAAAGGACAGTAGATTCGAGATTACGATTCCCTGAACTAGAAGATGCTGATTTTAAGCGGAATCAAGTTTTGCCCATTAATGATCCCTACACAATTCAGCCAGAAGTTGTCAAAGGGTATTGGTGAGAGTAAATTGCCCTCAACCTACCAAATTATATAAAACTCAATATTAAAGTTAGTATAATTAAAGCAATGTAAATATAGGAAGTCAACCAGCTTAATTTCTTAATTAGCTATTAATTTTTTTAATTTACCAATATTTTAACATAAATTGAATTTCGGGGTTTTGGGGTTTTGGGGTTTTGGGGTTTTGGGG